GCGGCTTATTTTTCTCGCTGCTCGCCGTGTGCTCGGGGCGCACGGCGGTTTTCTGCCCGCCGTGCGCCCTGGGCGCGCGGCGTCTTCCTTCCCCGCGCGCGGCCTGCCCTCACGCCGCTTGCGCGCCTGCCTCATGTCCACGCGCGGGCCTGTTTTGCCCGCCCGTACCCTCCAATTCGCGGCGCCCTGCGAGGCGCCGCTCCTGCTCGTCGCGACGCACCTGCGGGACCCGTGCGTCGCCGCTCCTGCTCGTCGGGACGTCCCTGCAGGACCTGCACGGCGTCGCCGTGCTCATCGTGACACCACTGCGGGACCCGCGGGGCGTCGCCACAGCTCGTCGCGGCGCCCCCAGAACGCCGCCCCTACTCGTCGCGGCGCCCCTGGGGCGTCGCCCCTACTCGTAGCGGCACCCCTTGGGCGCCGTTCCTACTCGACGCGGCGCCCTCCCCCATGGCCACCGCCTCTGCCTCACCTGCGCCCGCGCCAGCGTTGCAGCCGAGCGCGGGCTACCTTTCACCAGCGCCGCCCCTGGACCTCAGCAGCAGCCCCTGGAGCAGCCGCCCCAGCAGCAGCAGCCCCTGGAGCCGCCGCCCCAACAGCAGCAGCCCCTGGAAGCGCCGGCACTGCAGCGGCCGCCCCAGCAGCAGCAGCGCCTGGAGCAGCCGCCCCCAGCAGCAGCAGCCCTTGCAGCGCCCGCCCCAGCAGCAGCAGCGCCTGGAGCAGCCGCCCCAGCAGCAGCAGCCCCTGGAGCCGTCGCCCCAGCAGCAGCAGCCCCTGGAGCCGCCGCCACTGCAGCGGCCACCCCAGCAGCAGCAGCGCCTGGAGCAGCTGTCCCAGCAACAGCAGCCGCCCCTGGAGCCGTCGCCCCAATAGCAGCAGCCCCTGGAGCCGCCGCCACTGCAGCGGCCGCCCCAGCAGCAGCAGCGCCTGGAGCAGCCGCCCCAGCAGCAGCCCACGGCGCCGACCCCACAGCTGTCTGCACCGCCGCTCCTGGACTCGGTACGGCTGCCCGTGCCTGTGCTGCCTGTCGCTGCCCGTGCCTGTGCTGCCTGTTGCCGCCCGTTGCTGCCTGTGCCTGTGCTGCCCGTTGCCGCCCGTTGCTGCCCGTGCCTGTACTGCATGTTGCTGCCTGTTGCTGCCCGTGCCTGTGCTGCCCGTTGCCGCCAGTTGCTGCCCGTGCCTGTGCTGCCCGTTGCCGCCCGTTGCTGCCCGTGCCTGTGCTGCCCGTCGTGGTCCCTGCTGCTGCCCGCGCCCTTGTGCGCTCTGCTCTGCCTGCGCCCTCGTGCGCTCTGCTGCTGCCCGCGCCCGCGTGCGCCCTGCTGCTACCCGCGCCCTTGTGCGCTCTGCTCTGCCTGCGCCCTCGTGCGCTCTACTGCTGCCCGCGCCCTTGTGCGATCTGCTCTGCCTGCGCCCTCGTAAGCTCTGTTCTGCTCTGTCGCCCCTGCCCCCCCCCCCCACCCCCCCCCCCCCCCTTCTTCGTCTCCTTGCTGCGCGTGCAGCCGTGGAACGGATGCTATGGGGGTGGCGGGTATGGGGGTGATGGGTGTGTGTGATCCCCTTCCCCTCCTCCTCCTTTCTCTCCTTTTTAACTCTACAAAGATCCTAGGGCACCTCAGCCCAACAAACAAGTAGCTGCAATACGGAAGAATATCGTGTGAATTTCTCCCTCAATGAAATTTCGCGGTACATTCAAAGGCAATCTGCCGAGATTTGCCCCCTCCCACTATTTTGTTGTTCAGGATCCGTCACTTTGAGAGCTTACGACGAACTCATTACTCAACTAAACGCAAATTTGCTCAGTAGGAAGTTGCGCCTTAGGCTTAGCTACCATCTCCAAGTTGAATCAGTCGTTTAGATGGTCTAGAGAGTGAGAAACATGTAAAAACGTCCAGCAGCCGCATGACTAGAATGGTAGGGGAAGTACAAGCATGTAGGCAAAAAAAGTTGGAGTTGGAAACCTCCAAGAGAACCATGAGAGGGAAGGGGTTCTCCAAGAGCTAGGGAAGGATGGTAGGAACCTTCCTAGCAGCAAGGATGCAACCCTCATCATGAGGTCCTTGAGATGTCACATGCAAAATCAAATCTAGTTGGATTTTGCCTAGGTGTTGCAACATTTGCAACCCATGCTAGAAACTTCTAGCCACCCCAATCCAAAAGTCAAAGTTGCCTTCCCTAACCACCCAACCAAAGATCCCTTTATAGTCATGTCCCAAGTAATCACCCAAATTAGATATAACCCCAAAAGGTAATAAGAAATCTAAGTCTTGGAAATCTTGTAACTTGGGCGATCTTGGTCGGAATAAGGCGATCTTGGTATCGTTGAAAGCTCTGGATTTCTCCTGCATGATCAAGCATTTAGACTTGGAGAAAAACACAGAGATGACAATATCCAACAGCCATGCATAATGACATATGCTCATGCAAATCATGCAAGCACAAATAGCACGAGCACTCGGCAGGACGTTAGGATGACATGCACTCAGAATGACGTGCATCCAACATATTTCTGTGTTGCCACGTGCAGGTGAATCTTCCGTTGCAAGTGGCAAGAGAGGTGTCACATGGCATTTTCGTGAGGGCGATGAAGCTCGAGGCCGAAACTGACATTCACGCCTCAGGCAGTGATGCTAAAACGACCAGCAAAACACCCACATTGACTAATAAAAAAACCACTAACACTAAAATATGGCATATGTAAAGACCCGGGTATTATGTATTTTTTTCCTATTTTTTCCCTGTATTTTTAGCTATACCCTAGGGTGTTATGTCCGGGAGAATACGGTACTGGTAAGTTGCACAACACATGGCTTATAAATCAGCTATTTTAGTCTAGGATGAGTACATGCACGTATGTTTGCAATGGAGAATGAGAACCGAGCGCACTGAATGCCCCTTGTCATCCTTCCACGTGATGCTGCCATACTTGAATAACCTGAACCTCATCCACACCACAACCTTTACCTTGAATCTTACTCGCTCCCCAGGAGCTATGGTAAACTTTGATGGCACCACTCTCACGCTCACAAACTTGGGGGCCTTGATCCTCACCCTGTAGGTCGATGTGGTGTCTGAGACGCTCGTCACTGTCCGTATGGCGGTAACTTTATTCACTATGTTGACCAGCGAGATAGCAGGCCGATTCAGGTTCCTGGCTGGAACGGGTGTCAGTGGCACGTCTCCAAACACCTTTCGAGCCCTCTCCATCCTCACCCCAGCAAGAAAGTTGCGGAAATCTTGCTCCCCAGCATCATAGGTTAACCCAGGGTTAAGCGCACTAGCGGGAAAGACATGCCCCGATCCCATTTGCCACGGTGATGCCGGCTTCACATATAGATTTCTAATAAGTCTCTTTCTGTTGTCTGTGCGGCGCGCTGTCGTCATCATTGCAGACATGACCTGCGCGGGCGACCAATCAGGATGCTGCTGGATGATGAGAGAAGCCACACCGGCCACAAGCGCCGCCGCCATGCCCGTGCCGTTATCAGCCATGAACATGGATGGGGTTGTTGTCCCGGGATAAGCGGCAAGGATGTTGACTCCCGGGGCTATGATGTCTGGCTTGACAATGGCGTTGGTGGGGTAATTTTTCCATGGCTTGCAGATGGTACATTGGGCCACCATAAGTGGGCCGGTAGAGGACCAATAGGGAACCCTCGGGTGGGTAAATGCTGAAGGGGTGGTGGTGGCAGGAAGTCTGGATCCCACCAGTGTTGACATGGGGAGGGATGCTGTTGCTGATGGCCATGATACTGTTGGACCTGTTGTGTTTGCAGGATATTTTGACGCTGCTTGTGTAGCTGCTGCTGTTGTTGTTGACATTGAAATGAACGAGGCCTGGGGCACGGTACTGCATGGTGGGGCAGGGAGGATGTAGACAAGCATGAGAAGGGCAAGAGGAGACGCAGGATGAGGGAGGAGATGCAAGACGAGGGAGGAGAGTGTGGAAAAGTGCAGGAAGCAAGGACGGTAGAAGAGGAAGAATCATAATCTGCACCACACCACGGGAAACAAGCAGGCTCTGCCTTTGAGGCGCCTCAAAAGAATCATAATCTGCACCACGGGAAACAAGCAGGCTCTGCCTTTGAGGCGCCTCAAAAGAATCATAATCTGCACCACGGGAAACAAGCAGGCTCTGCCTTTGAGGCGCCTCAAAAGAATCATAATCTGCACCACGGGAAACAAGCAGGCTCTGCCTTTGCCTGCAGAGGTGAACGAGCGCACACTAAAAAGGGGTGCAATGTTGCAGCAGAGCATGTAATAGCCCGTCCTCATAGCTTGTGGGTGCAACCTCCGTCACTCTCTAGAGCGTGCTCCATTCTCACCTCGCCCCCACGGTGACATAGAAGGGTGAAAAGTAGGCGATGGCATCTAGTCGGCCGGTCCAATATTCATAGTACTTGCTCGTCCCTTCGTCGCCCGCTGCCACCGCCACAGTCACTCCTGCCTGAAGAATGGAGGAGGGAGGGAGGGAGGGAGGGAAGGAGGGAGGGAGGGAGGGAGGGAGGGAGGGAGGGAGGGAGGGAGGGAGGGAGGGAGGGAGGGAGGGAGGGAGGGAGGAGAGGGAGGGAGGACAAGAAGTGAGAAAATTAGGGCACGAAAAGTTACCGGAGGGTGCTGGGGTGAGAGAGAGTAGGATCGCATCATAATTGAGACAGCAGCGTGAGGGATGGCTGACAAGGGGGTTACAAGAGTATGCAATCATGAGTGCAATCATGAGTGCAATCATGAGTGCAATCATGAGAGCAATTATGAGTGCATCTACAATACCGATTTGTACTGGCGGGTTGCAGCCACCGCGTTAGTAGGGACGTATGTATGTGAATACGAAGCCACAGGCCCCTCACACCCACTGCACGCCCCTCACACCCACTGCACGCCCCTCACACCCACTGCACGCCCCTCACACCCACTGCACGCCCCTCACACCCACCTCACACCCCTCACACCCACCGCACGCCCCTCTCACCCACCGCACGCCCCTCACACCCACTGCACGCCCCTCACACCCACTGCACGCCCCTCACACCCACCGCAAGGGCGCCGATGAAAGGCACATCTTCAAAGTAGTTTCGTTTGTGAGCGTATGACTGTTGTACGCCAAGAAGATACACGGCCAGCACATCCACACCGTCCGCCACGGCCTGATCCACGGCTGCAAAGACGTCTGCGTATGTAGCGCCGAAGTCCATGTAACCAGGGTATCCATAATACCAATAGACCTTGTAGATGGCCAGGCGTGCCTTGGGAGCCACGCCACTGATGGTGCCCCGGCCAGGCACTTCAACCCCACTGTTGCCCGCTGCCGCTCTGAGAGCAGGGTGGGGGCGCATGGGACAGGGAAGGAGTGGCCGTGGTGTCAATGGGTATATCCCAAAGGACCTTGTACATGGCCAGGCGTGCCTTGGGAGCCACGCCACCGATGGTGCTCCCGCCAGGCATGCTGATGGCACTGTTGCCTGCTGCCGCTCGGAAGTGGGGGCGCATGGGACAGGGAAGGAGCGGGTATGAGGGGCGCATGGGACAGAAAAGGAGCGGGTATGAGGGGTACCGTTTCTATGAGGGGCTGACAGTGCTTTGAGCGGCTATGAGCGGCTATGAGCGGCTACGAGCGGCTATGAGCGGCTATGAGCGGCTATGAGCGGCTATGAGCGGCTATGAGCGGCTATGAGCGAGCGACTATGAGCGACTATGAGGGGAATGGTCTTGCCACATGCATTCCTTTCCCCATGTCTGCCAAACTATAATGAACAGCGTTTAACAGTGCCATGCCATACGTTTGAGGGTAGGGGGTTTTGATAAGAGAGTGAGGGTGGTCGGAGTTGCTAAGTAGGAACATCATCATGCACCATGCACCACACACCATGCACCACACACCATGCACCATGCACCACACACCATGCACCATGCACCATGCAGGCACCATGCAACATGCACCACACATCCCTGCACTCACCACACGTCCCTGCACTCACCCAGCACACCCCTGCACTCACCAGCACCCCTGCACTCACCCAGCACACCCCTGCACTCACCCAGCACACCCCTGCACTCACCCAGCACACCCCTGCACTCACCCAGCACACCCCTGCACTCACCCAGCACACCAGGTGCCATGGCTATCAGTGTCCCGCGGGGACATAAAGTTGCCGACGAGCTCACGATTCTCGCTCTCAAGCCCCGCGTAAAAGATGCCCCCTCCGATGATCTTGTTGTTACAAGCGAAATCGCTTGTAGTGGGACACGTGCCCGCCCACCCGGCAGGGAGCGTGCTGCTGTAGCCCTGGTGGGGGGAGGATGTGGGGTGCAGGGGTAGTGACTGAGTGGGTGGAGGGGCAGTGTAGTGGTGGGGCGGTGGGAGGTTAGCAGGAGCACAACAGGCAAGTGGGACAGGAAGGCTGGAAGGCTGGAGGGGAAGAGCAGTAGTGGGTTAATGTGACCAGTAATAGGGTGCTGGTGACTGGGTCGTGTCACATGCCAAACCACCCGCAAGGAAGGGAGCATGCAGCTGTAGCCATGTCAGGGACACGCAAGGTGGGGGTTGGAGGAGGTGGGTAGATAAGTTGGAAAAAGCGCTTGGAGCCCTGAGAAACGTGTGTGAAACAGCTAGCCCTGAGAAACGTGTGTGAAACAGCTAGCCCTGAGAAACGTGTGAAACAGCTAGCCCTGAGAAACGTGTGAAACAGCTAGCCCTGAGAAACGTGTGAAACAGCTAGCGCGAACAGTGAGGTTCGGGTCATGAGAAACAGTGAGAGTGGGCTCATAAGGTGAACAGTGAGGATGGGCTTATAAGGTGAGCAGTGAGGGTGGGCGTATAAGGTGAGGTGAGCAGTGAGGGTGGGCTCTCAGCGTACTGTGTCGTTAAAGGAGGAGTGCTCCGGCCACACACCGCTGTCCACAAACCCAATCACCGTGCCCTCGCCACCGTCGCTCGACGCTCCAGCCGGAGTGGCAGCAGCAGTAGTAGCGGCGGAAGCAGGAGTTGTAGCAGCAGGAGCAGTGGGAGTGGCAGCAACGGGAGCAGCAGCAGCAGCAGCAGCAGCAGCAGAAGGGAGGGCATCGGGCAGCTTGAAGGACTTGTACGCATCGGTGCTGCTAGTGGTGCGGCGTGTGATGGTGCGAGAGGGCGTGACGGACGCCACAGAGGGGTGCCGCCTCATACGCTGCACCTGCGCTGCCGTGAGGATCGCTGCAAAGCCGTTGTCTGTGTGCTTGTAGCTGATGGGGAAGGGAGCGCGTGCAGCGGGGGGGAGAGGCAAGGAAAGGGGGCAAAGAGTGAACTTGTGCGAGTCGGTATCCCGGTGGTGGTGCGGGCGGGGTGTACAAGTGATGGATACGCCTTGTGCGGCAGTCGAGGGGAGGAAGTGGGGGCCACGGGATGAACTTGTATGAGCCCCCCACATTCCCCTCACGCTCACCTGTAGAGCATCTTCCCCGCGTCCACCCCGCTGTCTCTCAGCACGGCCTGCTGCATGCGCTGCAGCAGCTGCTTGAACGCCCTCACGCCCGGCGCCCTCATGTTCAACCGCGGCCGCCGGCGAGCCCGACGGCTGGTCCCCCCTCCGCTGGCAGTGACAGCAGCCGCAGCCGTTACAGGAGCACCAGAAGCAGCGCCAACGCCACCGTTGCTTGCAACAGAGGAGTTTGAGCGAGCTGCCGCGCCGGCACCGTTGGCTGCATCGGCACCGTTGGCTGCATCGGCACCGTTGGCTGCATCGGCACCGTTGGCTGCATCGGCACCGTTGGCTGCATCGTCCGCCGACGCATCTATTGTGTTGCCGTTAGGGTCGCTGCCCCACACGGCCGTTGCCGGGAAGCCGGGGATTCCACCGCGGTACGAGGCGACTGGTGGTGCAGAGCGCAGGCGGACGATGTAGAGCGCGGAGGCATGGGGGGCGGAAGCTGCGGGGGATAGGGGAAACAGGACGAGGGGGGGATGAGGGAAAGAGGCGGCAGGAAGCGGCAGAGCAGGGGAAACATGGGGTGAGGTGGAGCGTGCGGGAGGCTTGGAAATGACAGGGGAAGGGGGAGGGAACGTAGGCGGACAACTCGTAGAATGCCGTGCGGCATCAATACGGGCAGCTCCGAGTTGTTGGCTGGGAGAGAAGGGCCAGGGAGAGATGAGAAATGGGAGTGAGTGGGGGAAGGGAGGGAGCATACTAGGCTGAGGATGTAAAGGGGATGCTATGAGCCTGATTATTTTTTTATTTGCCATGGTGTGTGGCCGTTTGCTCACCAGCGTTGGTGGGGCGGGAGAGCGTTCCGGTTAGAGTGAGGAGGAGCGATTGGAGGACAAGAAAAGCCCATGATCGACAATGCCGTTCATCATAAAGCAACGAATGTTGTTTCTCAGCATGCGAGTGTTGCTTAAGAGAAGCCATAGAGAGATTGTTGTAGCAGCAGGAAAATGACAAAGAAAATGCTGAGGAACTCGGAGATTTATCCTCGAGACTCTAGCTGCTGTCGCTACGACGACTGCTCCAGAAAGTCATGGGACGTGTCATGTGCAATTCCCGAACTTTGATTTCCGGACTCCCGGACATTCCCTTTCTCCCCTTGCCTCGCTTTCCTCCCTGACCTCATCGTCATGGCTCTTTGCTCTCTGCCTTGCTGGCACGACTATGGTCGTAGAGGTTCCTGCTTGGTCGTGCGGTTCAGGTGGAATGCCGAAGTCACATGTAATACAACAGTTGTGCAACCAGTAATAAAACATTGAGACTCGTTGCGTAACCATTTTGCATTTTATGTTTTATTACATGACTTCGAACGTTACACAACTGCCGCACAACTCAGAACGTTACACGTTCTGAGGACTAATTGAGGACTAATTCGAAGTCATGTAATAAAACATAAAATGCAAAATGGTTACGCGCCCTAATCAGCTCAACAACGCTCAATGACTACAAGAAACTCAACAACGCACATGACTTCGAACGACCCTGCTGGTGCATGCTTTCATCCCAAACACTCAGCACCAAAATGAAGGGTATGTTGGGAAACCCTCGCGAGGTTACCTCATTATTATGTCGTTCAAGGACCCAACAAAAAAAATGAGAAAATAAACGACCAAGACTAACGGTTTGCAACGTCAGTAGTCCAATGGTTAGGATATTTGCCTTCCAAGCAAAAGATCTGGGTTCGATTCCCGGCTGACGTAAATCACATTGTCAATGTCGTGACAAATTTCTGAACTTCACATTTCCCTATGCACTTTTGTTGCCACGCTGTAAAACGTCTTTCTTCAGCGTTTCTCTTTCCACCGCCGCCATTCCAGCCACTCCTCGCCTCACCGCGCAGCGCCCCTCATGACGCCTTCCGAATGCCTTTCTCGAGAATCCCGTCTCCCGTCTTCCTCCTGATTGCTACCTGAGCCAACCTCCTGAAACCCCCATTCTCTTCCATTCCAGAAACGTTAGCGAATCAGCTGAACGAAAAGGAACCGTCTTACCATCCGCGCCAGCCGCAGGTTATCCGGCCGGCACCGAGGAGGTTTTGCGAGTCGTTTAAATCAGCGGCGGGTGTTCTCGGCTCCGCGCGGCGCGGCATGACCCAGAAATTGCCCGCGCCAGACGTGGAAAGAGGGGGGAGCGGAGGGAGTGGCGGGGGGAGCGGGGAAAGCGGCGGGGGAAGCGCAGAGGACGTTGCAATCGTCCTTATCACGGCAGCTGAAAATGCGGCTGTCAGGATCGACGATGCCGACGTGGCAAGTCAGGCGATTCGGGAGCCTCCTACTGCCGGATCGGCTTCGCCTCCCGCGTCCATGTCCATCCGCGCCGTCAGCCGACGCGGCTCGCAGGGTAGTCCTCAGAACGTGACACGTGGCGGTCAAAGCAGTCAAACAGAGCAGCAAAGGAGAAAACGGAGCAGCCGAACAGAAATTTCGAAGCGAGCAGATCCCAAGGTGCAGTTGGCGAGCCAATCAGAGCGAAGAGGGCTCATGACAGGGACACTATCGACGGGGAAGCGTCCAGTGTTGCCACGTGGCGCAATGCAGCTGGTCGTGGATCCGTACAACCTGTGGGGCAGCCGGGTAGATGCGCGGAAGGTTCCCCTGAAGCCGTTTGTTGTGCGGTATGGTGACACTCTGGCCGCCCTCGCCGTGAGATTCAGGTGAGGCAGGGGAGGTGGGAGCGGTGCAAATGGGTCCACGTCGGTCCAACTGGGTGCAAGCTGTTTGTTGTGCGGTACTGAACACGCTGGCCGCCCTCGCTGTGAGATTCAGGTGAAAGAGGGAGGTGCAAGCGGTGCAAGTGGGTGCAATCGGGTGCAGTCGTGTTGTAGGGATGGAGGCGCTGTTCGTTTTCTGGTGCTTCTTGTAACCTGAACGCATGCCACCAATGGCAGTACCATACTGATCATCAGACATGTTGATAGAGGCGTTTGTTAGAGCTTCTTGTAACGAGAAGAGTGCTGCCTGCTTCTAACGGAGATGGGACCATTTGCATTAGTAAAGGGCAATGCTTTTGTTCGTGTGCCGGACAAACAGGACCCTATCCTCTTCCACATGCCATTCTCAGATTGTATGAACACTACTCCTGCTTTGTCTGACAAATAAACTATGCTCTTTGGCCATGCGTCCTTTTTCATTGAAACCTCCTCTTCTGTGACTGTGTGCAGTGTGACTATACGCGAGTTGCAGAGAATAAACGGGATGCAGTCAGATGCCTTATATGAAGGCGCGGTGCTGCTTGCACCTAAAGGTACATCACATCACATTATTGCATGATCATCATCGCATGATCTTCATCGCATGATCATCATCGCATGATCATCATCGCATGATTATCATCGCATGATCATCATCGCATGATCATCATCGCATGATCATCATCGCATGATCATCATCGCATGATCATCATCGCATGATCATCATCGCATGATCATCATCGCATGATCATCATCGCATGATCTTCATCGCATACTTTCCTCTCCTTCCTGACGTGTGATCCGGTCGCTGCTGCACCAACCGCCTCCACTTCTATCTCCCATCCGCTATCCACTTCCCTTTCCCCCGACCTTCCCCCCTTCTGCTTTCCCCCTTCCGCTTCCCCCCTTCCGCTTTCCCCCTTCCCCCCTCGATTTCCCCCGCTCCACCCCTTCCTCTTCTCCAGGCGCCATCACCCCCTCTCCCCCTGATGTGCTACACAGTCGCCACCACATTAGCTGCCGTCACCTCTATCACCCATCTCCCCATTTTCCCACACCCTCCCCCCCCAACTCGCCGTCCCCCTACCCATCCCCCCCACACTCACCTCCCCCTTCCAGGGCCCATCAACAACCCTCCCCTTGACGTGCGCCCTGGCCTGCGCCGCACCAACCGCCTGCTCTTCGGTCGCCCATCCCCAACCAGCCCGCTCATTCCCTCTCCCCTTGCCCCTTATCCCCCCTGCTCCAGGCGCCATACCCCCCCCTGCCCCTTGACGTGCGCCCGGGCCTGCTCCGCACCAACCGCCTGCAGATGTAGCCCTCCCTACCCCCCGTGTTTTGAGTCGACTCAAAACCCTACCCCCCGTGTTTTGAGTCGACTGAAAACCCTACCCCCCGTGTTTTGAGTCGACTCAAAACCCTACCCCCCGTGTTTTGAGTCGACTGAAAACCCTACCCCCCGTGTCTTGAGTCGACTCAAAACCCTACCCCCCGTGTTTTGAGTCGACTCAAAACCCTACCCCCCGTGTTTTGAGTCGACTGAAAACCCTACCCCCCGTGTCTTGAGTCGACTCAAATCCCAACCCCCCGTGTTTTGAGTCGACTCAAAACCCTACCCCCCGTGTCTTGAGTCGACTCAAAACCCTACCCCCCGTGTTTTGAGTCGACTCAAAACCCTACCCCCCGTGTTTTGAGTCGAATCAAATCCCTACCCCCCGTGTTTTGAGTCGACTCAAAACCCTATCCCCCGTGTTTTGAGTCGACTCAAAACCCTACCCCCCGTGTCTTGAGTCGACTCAAAACCCTACCCCCCGTGTTTTGAGTCGACTCAAAACCCTACCCCCCGTGTTTTGAGTCGACTCAAAACCCTACCCCCGGTATTTTGAGTCAACTCAAAACCCTACCCCCCGTGTTTTGAGTCGACTCAAAACCCTACCCCCCGTGTTTTGAGTCGACTGAAAACCCTACCCCCCGTGTTTTGAGTCGACTCAAAACCCTACCCCCCGTGTTTTGAGTCGACTGAAAACCCTACCCCCCGTGTCTTGAGTCGACTCAAAACCCTACCCCCCGTGTTTTGAGTCGACTCAAAACCCTACCCCCCGTGTTTTGAGTCGACTGAAAACCCTACCCCCCGTGTCTTGAGTCGACTCAAATCCCAACCCCCCGTGTTTTGAGTCGACTCAAAACCCTACCCCCCGTGTCTTGAGTCGACTCAAAACCCTACCCCCCGTGTTTTGAGTCGACTCAAAACCCTACCCCCCGTGTTTTGAGTCGAATCAAATCCCTACCCCCCGTGTTTTGAGTCGACTCAAAACCCTATCCCCCGTGTTTTGAGTCGACTCAAAACCCTACCCCCCGTGTCTTGAGTCGACTCAAAACCCTACCCCCCGTGTTTTGAGTCGACTCAAAACCCTACCCCCCGTGTTTTGAGTCGACTCAAAACCCTACCCCCCGTGCCCTGCTCTTCCCCCCCTTCTCTCCAGGCGCCATCACCCCCCCTCCCCTTGACGTCCGCCCTGGCCTCCGCCGCACCAACCGCCTGCTCTTCTCGCGCCTGTGGGTCCGCCCACCAGCCCTCGGCCAACCACAGCGCGACACGTGGCGCTTCCACCCTGGCACACGGCACCGGCTGAACCAAGCAAAAGGCAGGCAGAGGGACGGATGGGATGGCCTTTGGCACACAGTGATACTGGGATGCTGGGATGAGGGCCCGTGTATAGGCATTTGCTAGCACCATGCATTTGCTAGCACCATGCACATGCTAGCACCATGCATTTGCTAGCACCATGCACATGCTAGCACCATGCATATGCTAGCACCATGCATATGCTAGCACCATGCATATGCTAGCACCATGCATTTGCTAGCACCATGCACATGCTAGAACCATGCATATGCTAGCACCATGCATGTGCTAGCACCATGCATATGCTAGCACCATGCATTTGCTAGCACCATGCACATGCTACCACCATGCATGTGCTAGCACCATGCACTTGCTAGCACCATGCACTTGCTAGCACCATGCATTTGCTAGCACCATGCACATGCTAGCACCATGCACATGCACATGCTAGCAGCATTACCCACCAGTGTGGCTTCGACCTCCTCTTCTGACCTTCCAGGCTTAGGGTAAAGGATAGGCATAACTGGGAAGAAGGCAACGTATTGCATTTGGTTCTTGTAACCGAGCAAGAGCTTCGTTCCCCATTGTTTAGATCTTTCTTTCGAGATTTCTCACGAGTTTTCTTCCCACCTTTTGTGCTGGCTGGCTGCCTTCCCCCGCCAGCCAGCAACCCGAAACTTGTCATTCTTCCTTTCCTCCCTTCCACCTGCGCTTCTCAACCCCTGCTGCAAATGGATGCAGCGCGGTGGGATGAGGCACGGAGGAAGGGGTTTCACCGGCTGCTGCAGGGGTGGCTGCCTCTGCGCTCGCCCATGGATGGCTGCTCTGACTGGTGAGGCTCACATGGGACGGTACAGGGCAGGGCTGTATTGTCGTTGTGCAAGGGTACAGGGCAGGGGTTGTACCGTAGTGGAGTAAAAAAGCAGGGTTCATTCTTTAAGTGTTTATTTTCACAATCCTCCTGTTTCCCCTTCCAACCTCCATTCTCGTACCGCTCCATGCATCCATGTGCTCCATGCATCCATGTGCTCCATGCATCCATGTGCTCCATGCATCCATGTGCTCCATGCATCCATGTGCTCCATGCATCCATGTGCTCCATGCATCCATGTGCTCCATGCATCCATGTGCTCCATGCATCCATGTGCTCCATGCATACATGTGCTCCATGCATCCATGTGCTCCATGCATCCATGTGCTCCATGCATCCATGTGCTCCATGCATCCATGTGCTCCATGCATCCATGTGCTCAATGCATCCATGTGCTCCATGCATCCATGTGCTCCATGCATCCATGTGCTCCATGCATCCATGTGCTCCATGCATCCATATGCTCCATGCATCCATGTGCTCCATGCATCCATGTGCTCAATGCATCCATGTGCTCCATGCATCCATGTGCTCCATGCATCCATGTGCTCCATGCATCCATGTGCTCCATGCATCCATGTGCTCCATGCATCCATGTGCTCCATGCATCCATGTGCTCCCTCCACGTGCTCCCGCCCCCGGCCCCGGCCCCCGCCAAACATGCAGCTTTATCAACACCCCTGCTGCTGCCTGCTCATTCCCTCGCACCTCCATGTGTCACCCCTCTCTCTGCCCCCCTGTGCCACAACACAATCGCAGCTTCGTGAGCAGCCCCTTTGGGCCCAGATGGGGGTCCTTTCATCGGGTGAGTGCTGCTCCTCAGTGCCTGCTTTTGAGGGGGCCGAAAAGGCCTGCATGCCCCTCCCCCCTTTCGCTCCCGCCGTCCCATTTGTCTCCACGCTCAGCTTCGTGAGCAGCCCCTTTGGGCCCAGATGGGGGTCCTTTCATCGGGTGAGTGCACTGCACTGCACTGCTGTGCGGCACCGTATTCCCTCCCAGCCGCTCATTCCTTTCCAGACGCACCCAATCGTTTTACAGGTGCCGACTTGCCCCTAGTCGTCAGTCATGTTTGCTTCGCTTCTCTCGGAAATGCATGCTCTAGGCAACATTGGTTACTCTTAGAGAAAACTCCGACGCGGCACAAGCGTAGCCAACTGCAGAAATCTCTCACTTTTCTTCTCTGAAGAGTGCGCCAGGCAGCATGAGAGAAACTCGATCGAGAGCAAATGCGTCCTCAAACTGTTTCCCTCATCTCTCACCCATCCCTTCTGCATCTCCTTTCCCAACAGGGCGTTGACGTGGCCGCAGAGGAGGGAGAGCCAATCAGAGCGGCTCGCAGTGGCGTGGTGACGCATGTCGGAGACATGGACGTGTGAGTGTCGTGATGGGCACATGAGGTGCTGCCAGTGCCGTGATGGACACATGAGGTGCTGCCAGTGCCGTGATGGACACATGAGGTGCTGCCAGTGCCGTGATGGACACATGAGGTGCTGCCAGTGCCGTGATGGACACATGAGGTGCTGCCAGTGCCGTGATGGACACATGAGGTGCTGCCAGTGCCGTGATGGACACATGAGGTGCTGCCAGTGCCGTGATGGACACATGAGGTGCTGCCAGTGCCGTGATGGACACATGAGGTGCTGCCAGTGGCAATGCTAGTGGTCGTGTGTGTGTGCTACCACCACTGGCATGGAGGTGCAAGAATCTGGGAAATGTGTGTGAGCTTGGTGCGCAATGACAGTGGCGATGCTAGTGGTCGCATGTGCTACCTCTGGGCGCCGTCTTTTGAGTTGATTCACTATACTCACAAGTTACCTCGCAGTGCCTATATCCTCCTTGTCCTCTCCTCTGCTCTCGTCTCACTTCTTTTTGACTTGCCTTCAATCGCTTACCCCTTGCTCTCCTCTCGCGTGCGCCTCTTCCACCCGCCACCCGCCACCCAGCACCCACCACCCACCACCCACCACCCACCACCCACCACCCACCACCCACCACCCACCACCCACCACCCACCACCCAGCACCCAGCACCCAGCACCCAGCACCCAGCACCCAGCACCCAGCAACCAGGAATGATGAATTGGGCTTTGAAACGGCTCAAAAGTATCTCCCTGACCACCCCATGCCAGGTGCAGCCATTGAGTCACCGGCTCACTCAAGAACCAGGGTTCACCAGCCACCTCGCCCAGACGTTCACCAGCCACCTCGCCCAGATAAGCTTCTCAATGCTTCCCCAACTGCCTCTCCCCTCCACCACCCCATGCCAGGTACGACATTTTGGTGACGCTGAAGCACGAGGCGGGATGTACCTCTTACTATGCGTACCTTTTTAAAGTCACAGCGCTCTCCAAACTGCCTCCTCCCCTTTCCACCCCGCACCCCAGGCCAGGTACGGCAATCTGGTCACAGTGGCCCACGAGGCAGGCTTCAACCCCCACGAGGCAGGCTTCAACCCCCACAAGGCAGGCTTCAACCCCCACGAGGCAGGCTTCAACCCCCACAAGGCAGGCTTCAACCCCCACGAGGCAGGCTTCAACCCCCACAAGGCAGGCTTCAACCCCCACAAGGCAGGCTTCAACCCCCACGAGGCAGGCTTCAACCCCCACGAGGCAGGCTTCAACCCCCACGAGGCAGGCTTCAACCCCCACGAGGCAGGCACAGTTCTGAAACGTTCCAACAACCTCCCAGCTACCTTCACCCCCTTCCCCCCCCCGCTCCCCTCCACCCCACATCAGGTATGGCAATCTGGTCACACTGGCGCACGAGGCGGGCTTCACCACCCACTACGCGCACTGCTCCAAGATGCTCGTGCAAGCGGGCCAGGTGGGCTGCTGTCATGTGTCGAGTAGGTTGCTGCAAGTGGAGCCATCGCAGTGGTGGAGCCATCCCAGTGGTGGAGCCATCCCAGTGGTGGAGCCATCCCAGTGGTGGAGCCATCCCAGTGGTGGAGCCATCCCAGTGGTGGGCCACAAGGGGTGCTCCTCAGACTCGTTTCTATCTTAGGCCCGTTCATTCAAATGCTTTCCCAGCCTGCCCTGCTTTCACTCCGCACACTCCCCTCTCCTCACCTCTCGTTTAGCTTCACCTCCCTTGACTGCACGCTTCCCCTCCCTTGACTGCACGCTTCCCCTCCCTTGACTGCACGCTTCCCCTCTCTTGACTGCACGCTTCCCCTCCCTTGACTGCACGCTTCCCCTCCCTTGACTGCACGCTTCCCCTCCCTTGACTGCACGCTTCCCCTCCCTTGACTGCACGCTTCCCCTCCCTTGACTGCACGCTTCCCCTCCCTTGACTGCACGCTTCCCCTCCCTTGACTGCACGCTTCCCCTCCCTTGACTGCACGCTTCCCCTCCCTTGACTGCACGCTTCCCCTCCCTTGACTGCACGCTTCCCCTCCCTTGACTGCACGCTTCCCCTCCCTTGACTGCACGCTTCCCTCCCTTGACTGCCCTTCCCTCCCTTGACTCCTCCAGAGCATGCATGCAGGGCAGGTAATGGAGCTGGTGCGTGGCCTTTAGGAACTCCCATGCACCCCTCTCCACCTTCCTGCACTCCTGCATTCCTGCCTCCCCACCTGCGTCATGCACCACTCTACCTCTGCTGGTGCTCGTCACAGCTGCAGCCCGCACTCTCAACACCCCCTTTCCCTGCACTCTTCAGTCACTCTCAACAACCCCCTTTCCCTGTACTCTTCAGTCACTCTCAACACCCCCTTTCCCTGCACTCTTCAGTCACTCTCAACAACCCCCTTTCCCTGCACTCTTCAGTCACTCTCAACACCCCCCTTTCCCTGCACTCTTCAGTCACTCTCAACACCCCCTTTCAATCGCTGCTTGACTCCCCCAGAGGGTGCGAGCAGGGCAGGTGGTGGTGCCGGTAGGCAACTCTGGCCGCCGGTCCATGGGGTCGCATCTGCACACGCTTTCTCCCTCCCCACCCACCCGTCCCCCGCCCCCCGGCACTCTCCGTTTCCACTCGTCTCTTCACCCCAGCAGAGGGTGCGAGCAGGGCAGGTGGTGGCGCTGGTGGGCAACACTGGTCGGTCCATGGGGCCGCATCTGCACTTTGAAGGTGAGCACGCATCTGCACTTTGAAGGTGAGCATGCATCTGCACTTTGAAGGTGAGCATGCATCTGCACTTTGAAGGTGAGCATGCATCTGCACTTTGAAGGTGAGCATGCATCTGCACTTCTGATTCTGGGAGGATTGCTCTAAAAGGGTTTCGTGCCTCTCCCATTCAGGGTTCCCATTCTACGAATGGTTGGTTCAGTGCTGTTTGTGCATGCCTGTGGTCGAAAGAGGTATATTTTAAGAGGGTAGCCATGGATGTGAAGTGTTTTTTTTTCCTTTTCTTTTTTTGCATGCACCTTGTCTCCTTGTGCTTGCAGTACGAAGGCATGGAGAGCCCTTCGATCCGTTTGATTGGTGCAATATATGAGCGGCTCACATTTCACCCTCAATACAGCCTTCTGGCCTTCTCATTGGTTGCATGGGCGTACCAAGTTTTTTTGCTACACTCGAATTTTGCATGGACTGCATTGGGTTACTGGAGTTGAACACGGCGGCGTGCTGGACCCGCGAAAGTATGAGCTACTGGAGATTAGTTAAGTACAGACATGTGATCAGGATCTGTCAATAAAAGTGAAATAAGTTGTAGTAAAATTAAAGCATAAATAGGTTTGAAGAATCTTGGTGATTGAGGCTATACGTGGAAGTCATGTTATATCAAGCATTAGCAGAAATCTGTATGATTCTTATTCATACTCTGACGCAATCCTTTCTCACTTGCGCGATTGGCATCTGACTGTACATATGAGAAAGATTCACTAATCTGCAAACGAGTTGGCGACCAACTCTCAAGGTTGCAGGCGTGGCACACTCGAGAAATTGCAAGGTGATTGGTTTTCCATTGCCCGCCCCTCGGGATTAGCTGATGATATGTTTGTGGCCTTTCCAGCTTGACAGCGCATTATGTGTAGACAAGGCACACACCCTCGGCACGGCACTAGCGCGACACTAGCAGCGCATTATCATGTACCACTGATCATGTCACACGAGCATGCCTTCCATCTGAGACCCGCACGACCGAGCAAGAACCTCTACGACCCGCGTGCAAGAACCAGTAACGCCAGAGGGCCGCGGGAAGGCTTCTTAGCTTCGTCGACCATGCCGCATCTTCTTGGTTTCACGAGGTATCACACTTTCTTGGTTTCACGAGGTATCACACTTGCTTGGTTCACGAGGTATCACACTTGCTTGGTTCATGAAGTATCACTCTTTCTTGTGCTCGTAGCGGATAGTACGTCCCCAATTCCCTCGTGCTTATTTTCGTGTTCAAATCTACTGTCGTTCTACCTCCTATCGCTGTCATGATGGCTTCTCAAAAAGAACACTCGCTGCTTCCCAAGTATTCCGAGAAACAACACGCGTTGCGTTTCGAGAAACAACATTCTCGACTATGGGCTCTCCTTTTCCTACTTCTATTGCTCCTCCTCTCTCTACCCGTAACGCTCTCGCGCCCCAGCAACGTCGGTGAGCAAACGGCCACACACCACCACTCGTAGCATCCTAGAACCAGGTCGTAGCATCCTAGAACGGGGTCGTAGCATCTCCTTGTAACGCATCCTCCGCCTCCTATGCTCTTGCGCTCAGCCCCCCCCCTTGTCCTGTTCCCCCCATCCCCCGCAGCTTCCCCCTCCCATGGCTCCGCGATCTACATCGTCCGCCTGCGCTCTGCACCACCCATTGCCTCGTACCGCGGCGGATTCGCCGGCTACCCGACAACGGCCGCTTGGGACAACAACCCTAACGGCCACACTCCAGGCGCCGCATCAAGCGATGAGGCCGGCGATGGCGTTGGCGCGGCTTCTGTTCCAAGCAACGGTGGCGTTGGCACTGCGTCTGTTGCTCCTGCTGCTGCGGCTGCTGCCACTGCCACCAGCGGTTCAGGGGGCACAAACCGTCCGCTGTGGCGGCCGCGGTTGAACGTGAGGGCGCCGGGCGTGAGGGCGTTCAAGCAGCTGCTGCAGCGCATGCAACAGGCCGTGCTGAGAGACAGCGGGGTGGCTGCCGGGAAGATGGTGTATAGGTGAGGGGAACGATGGTATGCAGGTGAGCGTGAGAAGAGATTTGGGGACTTCATTGCTGCCAGCGTGGTGCTGCAGCAGCGCATGCAAAGGGCGGTAATGCAGCAGCGCATGCAAAGGGCGGTAATGCAGCAGCGCATGCAAAGGGCGGTAATGCAGCAGCGCATGCAAAGGGCGGTAATGCAGCAGCGCATGCAAAGGGCGATAATGCAGCAGCGCATGCAAAGGGCGATAATGCAGCAGCGCATGCAAAGGGCGGTAATGCAGCAGCGCATGCAAAGGGCGGTAATGCAGCAGCGCATGCAAAGGGCGATAATGCAGCAGCGCATGCAAAGGGCGGTAATGCAGCAGTGCATGCAAAGGGCGATAATGCAGCAGCGCATGCAAAGGGCGGTAATGCAGCAGCGCATGCAAAGGGCGATAATGCAGCAGCGCATGCAAAGGGCGGTAACAGGTGAGCGACACTCTAGAGAACGTTCAACAGGTGAGCGGACGTGTGTGTTCAATCTGGTGTGAAGGCTGTTGCACGCATCCAATGGCTTCTCGACGACCCTCACGCCCTCCCGTGCCCACCCCCTCTCAACTTCCCCTGCACGCCTGCCTCCCTTCCTTCCCTCGCCTCCCCCTGTACAGTTTCCCTCCCCCTCTACGCTTTCCCTCCCCCTGTATGCTTCCCCCCTTTCCCTCCCTTGTACACTTTCCCTCCCCCTGTACGCTTTCCCTCCCCCTGTACGCTTTCCCTCCCCCTATGCTCCCCCCCCCCTTGTACGCTTTTCGTTCCCCCTCAGCTACGTGCACACGGACAATGGCTTCTCGGCGGCCCTCACGGCAGCGCAGGTGCAGCGCATGAGGCGGCACCCCTCTGTGGCATCTGTCACACTCTCTCGCACCATCACACGCCGCCGCGCCGTCACTACCGCCGCCGACGGGCACAAGTCTCTCAACCTGCCCCACGCCCGTGCTGCTGATGTTGCCGCTCCCGCTGTTGCCACCCCCGCTGCTGCCACCCCCGCTGCTGCTGCTGCCACTCCTGCTGGAGCGCCGAGTGATGGCGAAGGCACGGTGATTGGAATTCTGGACAGCGGCGTTTGGCCGGAGCACCCCTCCTTTGACGACACTGTACGTTCACTGCCACGCATTGCTCTTCGCCTATGGGTTTCTGCTGCTGCTGCTGCTATTGCTGCTGCTCCTCTCTCTCCGCCTGCACCCCGCTCTTTGACTCCCTCGTCCTTTCTGTTTTGCCTCCCGGTCCCGATATAGCAATCCACTATCACCAGCACTTTCTCCAACCTAACTACCCCCGTGCACCCCACATCCTCCCCCCCACCAGGGCTACAGCAGCACGCCCCCTGCCGGGTGGGCGGGCACGTGTCCCACTACAAGCGACTTCGCTTGTAACAACAAGATCATCGGAGGGGGCATCTTTCGCGCGGGGTTTGAGAGCGAATATGGAGGACAGGGCCCACACGATGACGAGTGGGCCTCCCCGCGCGATTCTGATGGCCATGGCACGTGGTGTGCCGGGTGAGAGCACGAAGTTAGGACCGTGTGGTGAGTCCCATAACACACTATGCCATGGCATGGGATGGGACGGCATGGCATGGTATGGCATGGCATGGCATGGCATGGGACGGCATGGCATTGCATGGGATGGGATGGCAATGCGTGTGTTTAAAGTGTTTTGGCAGACAGGGAATGGAAGAAGAGCATGTGCATGGCATGACAAGGTCATTCCCTTAGTAGCCGCCCCTCCCCTGTCCCACACGCCCCCTCATACCCGCTCCCTCCGTGTCCCATGCATCTCCACTCTCAGAGCGGCAGCGGGCAACAGCGGCGTGGAGGTGCTTGGCGGAGGCACCATCAGTGGCGTGGCTCCCCGGGCACGCCTGGCCGTCTACAAGGTGTATTGGTATCTGGGCGGCCCTGGCGAGTCTGTCACTACCGACGCAGATGTCTTTGCAGCCGTTGATCAGGCAGTGGCGGACGGTGTGGATGTGCTCACCTTGTCCCTGGACAACACGAACAAAAACGCGGACTGGGATCAGTTTGACAAGTGGAATTGGACCTACTTTGACGACGTGCCTTTCATCGGCGCTCTTGCGGTGGGTGTGAGGAGCATGCGGTGGGTGTGAGGAGCATGCGGTGGGTGTGAGGAGCATGCGGTGGGTGTGAGGAGCATCCTGTGGTTATGAAGAGCATGCGCGTAGGGAGTGGATTTGCTGGCTGATCCGAGCGTGCTTTTCTATCACACTCATACGTGTCCCTGCCAATGTGGTGGGTGGGTGCATCACTCGAGTATACACTGGTACGGAATGTGATTGAAACCCCATGTCAGCCACTCGCCTCTTTAGGGCGCCTCAGAAGGCGCCACCTCCTCTTGCCTGTGTTTTCCCCCTCACCCTCCTTCAAGCCGGAGTGACTGTAGCGAGGGTGACTCTCTCCTCCAGGTCGGAGTGACTGTAGCGAGGGTGACTCTCTCCTCCAGGTCGGAGTGACTGTAGCGAGGGTGACTCTCTCCTTCAGGTCGGAGTGACTGTAGCGAGGGTGACTCTCTCCTCCAGGTCGGAGTGACTGTAGCGAGGGTGACTCTCTCCTCCAGGTCGGAGTGACTGTAGTATGTTTTAAGAGCGCCTTCAAAACATACGCTCTCCCCCTCCTCCCTCCCCCAGGCCGGGGTGACTGTGTCTTTTGCAGTGGGCGATGAGGGGAGGTCCTTTTACCGTTACCTGTACGGTCCTTTCCCTGCCATTGACAACTTTGCACCCTACTATATCAGCGTGGGGGCCAGGTGAGCACGGGGAGCACTTGCTAGGGAGTGGCAGGGGTAGATTGTTCCCGAAGCAGAAGGTTGCTTGTTTTGCACGCTGCAGCTTTGCATTGTCCCTTCTTCCCTTCTCTCTTCCTTGGTTCATGCCTTTTTCCATGCTCTTCTCCCTCCTCTTGCACCTCCTCCCTCGTCTTCCATCTCGCATCTCCTCGCATCTCCTCGCATCTCCCCGGATCTCCTCCCATCACTCTCCCTGCCCCACCATGCAGTACCGTGCCCCAGGAATCCCTCACTTCATCGTCTACAACAACAGCAGCAGCGTTAGAATCTCCAGCAAACACCACAGGCCCATCAGCATCAACACTGCTGGGAACCCAACTCCCCACCACCATCTCCCCTGCAGCCACCTCCCTCCCCATGGTTCCCGAATGGTCCTCCACCAGCCCTCTTGCCGCGCGGGGCTGCACTGTCTGCCGCCCGAAGAAAGCCCGCCCCTCCAACACCATTCTCAAGCCCGACATCATCGCCCCGGGGGCCGACATCCTTGCGGCTGCTCCCGGGACAACCGTCGGCGAGACGGGGTCGTTTTCGGCTTACAATAACGAGACTGCCGTGGCGGCGGCGCATGTGGCCAGTGTGGCTGCTCTGATCATCCAGCAGCATCTTGATTGGACGCCAGCGCAGGTCATGTCTGCCATGATGACGACAGCTGGCAGTACAGACAACAGCAACAGAATGATCCGGAATGTGAACGGCAAGCCGGCGACTCTGTGGCAGATGGGAGCGGGGCATGTGTTTCCCGCTAGGGCGCTTGACCCTGGGCTGACCTACGATGCCGGGGAGCAAGATTTCCGCAACTTTCTTGCTGGGATGAATTTCACAATGGCCCGAGAGGCATTCGGGCAGGTGCCACTGAAACCCATTGCAGCGAGGCACCTAAACCGGCCGTCTATCTCGCTGGTGAACATACCACTGGTAGTGAATAAACTCGCCGCTAGGCGGACTGTGACGAGTGTCTCAGGCACCACATCGACGTATAGGGTGACGGTTACTGTCCCTGAGGCAGTGAGAGTGAGGGTGGTGCCATCGCAGTTCACCATAGCGCCGGGGCAACGGGTCAGTTTCAAAGTGAAGGTTGTGGTGAGGAGGACGTTCAACAACTTCAAGTATGTGTCGCGTTATTAACACTTAGCCGGCAACCAAGTGTGAATTTCGCAGCAGCTAAGGTGAGGGTGTATTCTAGTTTACTGCTTTTCGCATTTTACTTTGTGTGCTTGTTTTGGGATGTTACTGTACTATACAGAGTCAAGCTGCTGAGGATTTCGAGGTGGTAGATGAGGAGGTTGATGGCGAATTCGATTCCAGCCAGCCTGGGAATTCAATTCGACATTCACAGGCTGGAAGGCGGTGCATGCCTAGTGGGCCCAGTGGGACCCAGCTAGCACCTTGAAGCCTACGCGATCAGCTCGGCTGACTCGCGCTTGGGAGTAGAGGTAGCTTGCGGGACAAGGCACCTAGGCAGGAGGGGATGTAGACGGGGGTAGCGCTCAGACTCGTTGCTTTTTGCTTGTATGTTTCTCATTTACTGCAATTTTCTTTCCTAATCCAGAGGGAACTAGCAGTAGGAGAAGCTATAAGCAATTTGACGGGGCCCCTGAGGGGGAGTGTTACGCTTGCTACATACAAGCAAAAAGCGTTGTTGTCTGTCTTAAGTACAGGAGATAAGCTAGTAGCCTCGAGTCGCTCACGGTGATGCGCCGTGAGGAATGAGTAGGCACGATCAGGAACTGCACACTCATCAGCTGCGCTCGGGACTCTGTTTCCCTGCAAGGATGATGGAGGGACAAGGCCAGCCAATCAGGACACCTGGATTCCGTGCTGAAGAGGGCAATGCTAACGCTCGTGGGGGTCAGGGATCAGATCGAGAGAAGGAGGGCGACCGGCAAGGGGAGCCGCCGCCCAGCGCTACGGGTGGATCAGTCGCTGGTGGGAGTGGAATCGGCCATGTGAGGAGCGGATCTCGAGGGGAGAATCCTGCTCAAGGAAGGGAAGAGTTTCAGGAAGAACGGCGCAGTCAGCGTGGGGAAGATGAACATCACGAAGAAAGACGCAGTCAGAGAGGAGGAGAAGCGTACCACAGCTTTTCGGCGGGTGGATACGAGGCTACTGAAGCTAGGCAAGGTGGTTGGCCGGTGGACAGCGGAGATAGAGGGAACACGAGCTGGGGGACGGGCCGCACGATGAACGCAGCCTCACCAAAGATTGAAGTGCCTGACCGTTTCTCGGGGACACCAGGGGAGGAGCCCACGCTCAAGAACTACTTGATGATGATCGACGACCTGCGTTACCTTTGGGAGAGGGAGGGCTTAGACCCTATCGAGTTCTTTAGAAGTTTGGGACGGACTCTGAAAGGCGAGGCCCTGACTCACTACCGCGTGGAAAGGCAGGGGCTGTTGATGCAGTGCAAGAGCGGCGAGTTCTCACCTGCAATGATAACGGACCGATTTCTGGAGAGTTTGCAGGAGCAGTTCCCGGGGCACTCGGCTGAACGGATGGCGGAGTTTCAGAACTTCATGCGTGCCACCTCGGAGTCGCTGCTAGCCTATTACAACAGGCTGCTGGAGCTGGCAGAGGACATGGGGTGTATTGAGGAGCGCCTCTTGGTGACAAAATTTGTCAACGGTCTGGACAAGGACCTGATAGGCGACATGAGGAGTCAGCTGTACGTCCTGGGAGTACGCGCCACGCTGCGGCAAGTCTACAAGGTGGCGAAGGAAGTGGAGGAAGGGAAGAGATTTTATGATGGCATGCAGGGGTCGAGTTCCAGCCGACCGAGTGAGCAGAGACGGCCGGCCTGGGCAGCTATGGAAGGAAGAAGGGGAGAGGAAGAGCGGAAAGAGAGGCCATCGGAAGACCCGAGACGCTGCCATAATGTGGAGAGCAAGGACATCTTCGGAGGGATTGTACGGTGGGGATAATCTGCGACACCTGTGGAGCAAAGGGGCACTTCAGGCGTGACTGCCCCAAGGCGCCGACCTGCACGGGGTGTGGGAAGAAAGGCCATACCGAAGCTAGATGCTACAGCAAGGGAGACAGGGCGAAGGGGAAATCTGCAAGGGAGTTGCAGTTGGAACGAGAGTTGGCGAAACTGAAAGCTCAGATGGAGAAATCAGGGATCAGTGAAGACCCCGAGAAACCTCTGCTGGCTTGGGGGGACGACGAAGGAGAAGATTCTGAGGAAGGGGAACCGGAATACGGGACCATGGCTATGCCGCCAAGAGAGAGGGGAGACCTGGGGCTGCGCAGCGGAGGGGTAGATGGCAGAGCGGAGCAGAAACTACAAGAGCGGAGAATTTCCAGGCGGTAGGAGAATCAAGGGAGAGTCAGCACCGCACGGCGTCACCCCGAAGAAAGGCTAGTCTGTCAGCCCACAGCCTTGGTGGTGGAACCGAAAGCAGTGGCGGTCAGAGGAATCTTGGTTGAAAACGCGGTGGTGGATACAGGAGCACAGATTGTCCTGATCGGGAAGAAGCTGACGGCACAACTGCAAGCGCAAGGGAACCTAGAGACTGTAAGCAAGGGCATACTGATCATGACAGCCGAAGGAGGGGCCCCCAAGTGGATGCCATGCACACGGGACCTGATAGAGATAACCTTACAGCCGGGAGAGAAGGGGGAGACCACTATCAGAGTGCAGTGTGGGTTGACAGAATCGGAGGACTATGATATCCTACTAGGAATGGAGCTGCTGTTCAAGATAGGCACCACTATCTGTACCTGGAAGGAGCAGGTGCCCTACCGTTCGGACTTTTGGGAGGAAGGGAAGGAGCTGAGTGAACTACCAGTACGGTTTGTTAAGACAGAACCCAAGAAGGCGTGGAGAGCAGAAGGACTGAGGAAGAACAGCAGAGGGGGTGGAAGTGTGGGGAAGAGCAACGTCAGGGCTCACCTGGATCAGTATAGCATTACACTAGTGGAGCTGTTCGGGGGAATAGGAGCGGGCTTGGCAGCAGCCTTGGAAGCAGGCTTGAGGGTGAAGAAGTGGGTATACGTAGCACTGGACCCAGAGGTAAGGAGAATGGCATGGAAGCATGCTCAAATGTTACAGCAGCAGTAGCCCACACAGCTGACGAAGGAAGTACTACGGGAGGCCATGCAGAACAAGAAATGGGATGTGGGGCAGATCACGAAAGACGACGTGAGCAGCTGGGGTAAAGTGGATTTGTTAGTGGCAGGATGGGAGTGTCAGGGTACTTCTAAGGCCGGAAAGGGGAAGGGCTTACAGGACGAACGCACGGCGATGGTGACCAAGCTACTCACCATTATGAAGTGGACGAGGGAAGTGAACGGAGAATATGCTTACATCCTGGAGCATGTGGATATGAGGAATGACGTACGCGAGCCGGTCAGGGCAGTAAGGGAGCTGGTGGAGGCAGAACTGGGGAGAGGAGTGAGCTGTGATGGGGCACAGTTGGGGGCACGCTGTCATAGGGTGCGGCAGTACTGGCAAAACGTCTTGCCAGACGGGGAACTGAGGGCCAGACTGGCAAGAGTGGAGAGGGACGAAAGCAGGATAGTGGAGGATATTTTAGAACCGGGGAGGGTGGCGGCACCAGTGGTAAAACCAGACCATCCGCGGCAGTACCAGTGCAACCGGGTGGGGGAAGCTCGCAGGGCGTGGCCTACATTAGTGGCATACGCCAGGGCACAAGGTTTCATCGAGGTGGACGGAATACCAGGACCAGGGATGGTGTACGATCACCGGAAGAAGAAGTGGGAGGAACCGACGGCTTTGGAGCGTGAGTTAGCCATGGGATACCTGCCAGGAGCAACCGCAGCAGAAGGGGTAGAGGAAGGGATGCGCAGAGCAGCTTTAGGAAGAGCCATAGACCAGCACTCGCTGAGATGGTTAATCAAAGAGATGAGGAAGGGGGCAGCTGACAAGGGAGGAGAGACCGGAAAGAGGCAAGGACAGGGAGAGAAGCAGGCGGCGTATGCAGCTGTTGGGCAGGGCACGGGAGGAAGGGAGAATGTGGCGGCACTAGCAGGGGGCAAAGAATCTGAGCAGGGTAAGGAATGGGAGCTAGGTACGGACATCAGGGAGCAGACGGCGGAAGCAATCAGAGAGGTGTTGCGCCAGCACAGGAGCACTTTCGCCTATAATCTGCAGGAATTGGGGAGGTACAAGGGAAGAGAGCTGGAGCTAAACCTTACCACAGAGATACCCACTTACCAACAAAGGAGGAGAATGAATGCAGAGGATGCGGCTATCTGCAAGGAGAAGTGTGAGGAGCTGCTAGCAGTAGGGATCATCCGCCCGTCCGAGTCAAGCTACGCAGCAGCCACAGTGGTAGCTGCCAGGAAGGATATCACGGGTAAAGTGCTGGCGAAAAGGATGTGTGGAGATTTTCGGGAGCTGAACAAGATTACCAGCCCGGACAGGTACCCCATGCCAACAGCAGAAGACATCTTTGATCGATTAGAAGGCGCCATCATCTTCACCACCTTGGACCTGCGACAGGGGTTCAACCAGATAGCCATCAGGGAGGAAGACAAACGGAAAACGGCGTTTCACGGGGTGGATGGACTGTATAAGTACAATGTGATGCCCTTCGGGATACGCAACGCCCCCGCAGTGTTCCAGCGGGCCATGGATCAGGTGCTGAAGGGGATTCCAGCAGCAGCTTGCTACATAGATGATATACTGATTTTCAGCAGCAGTGAAGAGCAGCACGTGCAAGATCTGAAGCGGACGCTAGAGGCTATAGCAGCTGCAGGTCTAACGTGCCATCCAGACAAGTGCAAGATAGCAAGGCAGACCGTGGCTTACCTAGGCTTTGAAGTGAAAGGGGGCCGGCTGGCGATACAGGAAGCAAAAGTGAAGGTGCTGGAGAACCTGGCAGCACCAAAGGACAAGACCGGGCTGCGGGCGTTGCTCGACTTCCTGAACTATTACAGGAAGTTCGTACCGAACTTCAGCCGCCGAGCCTACGTACTGAATCAACTGCTGAAGGAAGGGAGGAGCTGGCAGTGGGGAGAGCTGGAAGAAACGGCAAGGCTGGGAAGCCTGAGGTATCAGGAGGAGTGCAGGACAGAGTGATTACGTACGCCAGGAGGAAGAAGGGATGAACCTGATCAGTAGTACGGGTGGCAGGGAAGGAAGGAGAGAAGGAGAAGTCAGCTGG